TTCATGGGTGTGCTGGCCCTGGTCCAATGTTTTGTAATATGAGGGAGCCATAGGCAGCTCCTGATAGGCTTATAGAGTGGGGCCTTACAGCTTCCCGTTGTAAAATAATACCCAGGGAACAGGGGGATCAAAATGTCTTGTATCTGCACCTGACTGAGAGGAAGGGGAGAAGTAGGGAGGTTGGCATTGTGCAAATGCACCAGCAGGTGCACTGGATTGGTTCTGCCAATGTGTTTGCACCATGCTGACATCTATGCAGCCTCATCCCTTCCCTCCATCTCTGTCCTGGTAAGGTTCATAAATTCAAATAATGGGATATCATTTAAATGGTACCAACCCTCCATTGTGATCTGTGAACCACTCTGGGAGCATTTTGGCTGAAGAACAGTGTGTATGTACACACACAGACAGAGAGGGGAAAGGGAACTGGGAAGCTGATAATTCAACAGGGCACCAGGGTGCCTGAAAATTTGAAATATGTTCTGGTACTGTTCTTAAAGTCCTTGTAATCAGAACTTCCTAATACCATTATCATTCAGTGAAAGTGGGATGAAAATAGCAACTTAGCCAGATTTTGATCACAGAGGGTTATCATGCTAGGAAATAAATAACCTTATAGGATTTAGTCTCCTGAGCTTTACACTCCTTTATTTGAAATAATCTTCCCAGATGGCAAAATCCAAAAGGACTTAGGGGAGAGATGCTTTGCTCTGTTTGCTGACAGAAGGTACATATTATCAGATAACCTTTTTCAAAGAGAACCTGTTGGGAATTTGGTGGTCATAATGAGATAGTTCTGTACAGCGGGTGGGTGATGGGCTAGGCGATTGAAGTTGCATCAGGGAAGAGAGCAGCATGCAATACCTTTTCAGGACATTGCTTGAATTTAGCTGAACACTTTTGTAGCCCCCTTTATGCTACGCATTATGAATGTTTCTGCTGTAATATTTTTCCCGAAAGACTTGGAAACTGAGCCAATGTAAAAACATTCAAGAGTATTTCAAGTGACTCTCTTAGGTGGCTAGTAGATTTAGATTGTGATCAAGGCTGGAATCACCAACTAGCACTCCCAGGCAACTGCCAGGGTCCAAACATCCCTGTCAGGGTCCACTGGTGCTGATGCCTGTCTTGGCCATGATGGCGCCAACACTTGGCTTTGGTCTTCCTTTCTACTCCTTGCCCCACCTATGGTCTTACTTGGTTGCGGTGGGAAACTGGGGAGCTACCTGCCATTTTCAGTTTCCTACAATATCTCACATAAATGTTCTAGTATTTAAAATACACAGCTGCATATTGCAGGACCCTTTTGCATCAGAATGGAGGAGATATTCAATTTACTTCCCATCTAAAGGCAAACCAACCTAGTTTGCAGTTTCTGAAACAATATGCGAACCAAAACACAGCCTTCCTTCAGAATTTGTCCTTCAAATTTTGCAGCGTAGTCTCCAAGCTAATGTGTAAAGCGTGCACAAAAATGCACATATTAGGGGAAATAACATTTAAGATGCACTGTATTCTGGAAAATTGCTTTGCAAAAATGGGTACAATAAGCAAAACCGCATAAAGGTGAACATCAGGAGAAATTCACACTAAATGCTGATTAATTTTCATGAGAACTGAACCTATGAGTGGAAAAAATGAGAAATTTTGGTAAAAATAAATTGACAGATTTACCAAAGTATGTGCACTGTATGTTACTAGTGGGGATATAGCCGGAGAGGCAATGTGTGTGTGTCTAATTACCAGCAACATCAATAGGATTTACTCCAACACTACCAGTAACACGATTGCAGCCCAAACATTTTTGTTTTGCTTCTGTTGACTTTGTATCCTTTTTGTTTACCATTTCTATCCTTGTTGTTTACAGATTTTATTAGTTTTTGTTTCAAATAGCCAAGCAAGTAAATACAAGACAGACGGCCTTATTAGTGGTGATGCAAAGGATCTGGAATATGCTCCCGGTGGAGGTTCACATGTCTCGGTTGCTTATCTTTCTTAATATAACCATTATTAGAAATGGACAGAAATTTAAAACACTTTCTAAAAAAACAACAGGGTGTTTGTTTTTTTAACCACAGCCCTAGTTACACCTATTTATTAATTTACTTGTACTATTTTTCTCCTGTTCCAGAGGGTACAACCTGAACCAATGGATTCCAGTTACAAGAAAGCAGATTCTGACTAAACATCAGGAAGAACAGTGCAATGGGCTCCCTTGGAAGGTGTTGGACTCTCCTTCATTGGAGGTTTTTAAGCAGAGGTTGGATGGCCATCTGTCATGGAAGTTTTAATTGAGTTTCCTGCCTTGCAGGTGGTGGGACTAGATAATCCTCAGGGTCCATTCTAACACTACAGTTACATGATTCTGTTTATATACCACTTCATTGCAACCATTTCTTAATACTGTACAAAAACATAATGCAATAGAAATGAAAAGTCTGTTAAAATGATAAAACCAGGATCCCATTAAATTGCTTGCTAGAATTAAAAAAAAATATTCATTTAGTGGTAGAGGTTTGATAGGGAGAGAGCCTCTGGACAAAATGGATTGCTTCAAGAAGTGGCAGAGAGATATTTCTAGATTTGTCTGGCAGGGCAAGAAGCCTAGAATAAAATTTAAAATACTAACGGATGTAAAGGAAAGAGGTGGATTTGCCCTGCCAGACCTTAAACTTTATTATGAATCAGCAGCTTTTTGCTGGCTGAAAGAATGGCTGCTTCTTGAAAACACAGACATCTTGGATTTAGAAGGTTTTAATAATGTATTTGGATGGCATGCATATTTGTGGTATGATAAGGTCAAAGCACATAAAGCATTTAAAAATCATATTGTCAGGAAAGCATTGTTTAATGTCTGGATAAGATATAAGGACCTAATGGAAAACAAAACCCCAAGGTGGCTGTCACCGATGGAAGCGAAAGCTCAGAAAAAGCTCAATATGGAGGCCAAATGGCCGAAATATTGGGAAATTCTGGAACAAGAGGGAGATAGATTGAAACTGCAGAGTTTTGAGAAACTAAAAACAAAGTGCGAGATTGGCTTCATTATTATCAGATAATGGAGGCATACAATTTGGACAAGAAAATTGGCTTCCAGGTGGAAAAATCAAAATTAGAAACAGAACTGTTAGAACCCAAAACTAAGATTTTGTCAAAGATGTATAACTTGCTGTTGAAATGGAATACTCAGGATGAAACGGTGAAATCTGCTATGATTAAGTGGGCACAAGATGTTGGACATAACATAATGATGGCTGACTGGGAACAGTTATGGACCACAGGTATGAAGTTTACGGCATGTAATGCCTTAAGAGAGAATATTATGAAAATGATATACAGGTGGTACATGACACCAGTCAAGCTTGCAAAAATCTATCACTTGCCCGATAATAAATGTTGGAAATGTAAAGAAACTGAAGGTACATTCTTTCACCTTTGGTGGACTTGCCCAAGGATTAAGGCTTTCTGGGAGATGATCTATAATGAAATGAAAAAGGTATATAAATATACCTTCTTGAAGAAACCAGAGGCCTTTCTCCTGGGCATGGTCGGCCAATTGGTGCCAAAGAAGGACAGAACTTTCTTTATGTATGCCACAACAGCAGCAAGAATACTTATTGCAAAGTATTGGAAGACACAAGATTTACCCACTCTGGAAGAATGGCAGATGAAGGTGATGGACTTTATGGAACTGGCAGAAATGACTGGCAGAATCCGAGACCAGGGAGAAAAGTCGGTGGAAGAAGATTGGAAGAAATTTAAAGACTATTTACAGAAATACTGCAAAATCAATGAATGTTAGAATGATGTCAGAATGAAGTTAAGTGGTTTTAGCAGCAATGTTATAAAGGTGTATGTAAAAATGGATTGTTAACAGGTGAGAATCCAAAGTTATAATATATTAAGTTAAAGGATTAAGACAAAAACAAAGAGGGAAAGGAATTGCTGAATTAACTAATAGAACTGGAATACAAAAAAGGGAGGTGTGAGGAAGTCAGGAAATGAAGTCAGGGAAGTAAGGAAATGAAATGTAAGTTATGGAAAGATTGATGTGTTTTTTAAGTGTTTTTTATCTTTTTTCTGTATTTTGTATTTTTTCTTTTTTATTTCTTTTTCTTTTATTTTTATCTATGTAATCTTTTCTTTGAAACTTTAATAAATATCATTTTTTTTAAAAAAAAAAAGATAGGGAGAGACCCTCTCTGACCTCAACTGAAGGAAAGTCCCAGGGAACTTAGCAACACCTACTTCTGAGTATGTATACTTGGGTAGCACTGTTAATATCAACATTTAGTTCTGTCACTGCTTTGAATTTGTGGTTTTACTTTTATATACTGGATTTCTGTTTCTTTGTTGTGTTGACTGGAAAATGTATTGCAGCTCCATGATAGAGCATCTGGTTTCCATGCAGAATGTCCCTGCTCCATTTGCAACATCTCCAGATAGGGCTAGGAATGGCCCTTGATTAAAGTCATATGATATGCTGCCTCCGTTTTTAGTATTTAATTTTGTTACATTTCCAAGACTGTATTGTCTATGACTGACATAAATTTAATTTGCTAATGCTTTTGTTATGAACCATGTTTAGGTTTAAAAATGGCATCAGCATTGAAAAATAATTCTGAATAAGTTGTGCAGTTCTGTTTTAGATCAATTTATAGAGGATGAGTCTGTTAATGAATATTGTCCCTAACTATTACAAATTGAATCTATATTTTTAAAAATCTTTTTTAATTTCAAGTCTATGCAGCCCACAAGTCATACCAGAAAAAGCCCAAGAGAAACAATTAAAAAACAAAAACATATACACAAATAGAAACCTATATTAATTAACAGATGCAACACCCACAGCGAGAAAACAAAAGAAAGCCCCAGTTAAGTATTAATTGATTTCATGATTCATTGACTTCAATAATTCACAGAGCTGAGGATAAACATTTTTCAACCCCTATTCTGAAGAAATAGCATCTAGTCCAACTTCCTGCAATGCAGGAATCTTTTACCTAATATGGGGCTTGAACCCAGAACCTTGAGATTAAGAGCCTCATACTCTAGCAATTGAGCTACCCCTTAGGACGTATTGGGTTTTAATTGCTGTTATCCACTCAGGAACCTCAAGGTGAAGGTTAGAATCATCATCATCAGACTCTGACCTCTCTGGGGCTTGGAAAAAAATGTTTTTTCTTTTGTGAAAGGGAGCAAAAAAACCATTGTGCTGATGCTGTATCCTTCTCTGAGTCATGTGGAACTTGTAGATAACAGCTCTCTCATGGGGAGAGAAAGCAGCAACATCCAAGGCCCAGGCCCAGACAAGCAGTGGTTCAAGTAAGGGTTTGGATAAGAGGCTAGTTGAGAGGCAGTGAAGCACAGGATTGAATAAAAGGCACAGTACCAGTACCAGTCCAAATGTTTTCCCGTCTGGTACTGAGACGTTTGATCCACACCCACACCCATCCAAACCACACCCAGCAGAATTTCACCAGCTGCAGGAGGATCTTATTTTTGTGGAGAACTTGACTCCCGAGGAGTATTTCCCTGAAGTTTGGAAGTTCTCCTCATGGAGTGGGTTTCTGCCTGCCATTTAAGGAGCCACCGTTCACATGGTCTCAAGGCCTGTTCAACCTCAGTTTCTGGTGTTGAATTATCCTGCTACACAGGCTGCCCCCTGTCAACCTTGCTTGAGAGTCCTGACTCATCCTTACTCCTAGATCTAGTTGGGTCCTGGCTAAGTAGTAGGGTTCCAGTTCGTTATCGGAGAACAACCTGGTCATAGATGCATCATCAATACAGAGACAGTTCTCTGGCCATTAGCAAAAGTGTACTGTTAAACAAACAAACAAATATCACTGGTATTTGAAACAGATAAGAGTTATTGGAGAAGTTGCCTTGTAATAAAGTGTTTTACCTCTGATTAATTTACAGTTGTTGTTCTGTCTTCTCTCCTAGTTTATCTTGGTTCTCCAGCTGCTGGTAGCATGTGTTTGCAATATGTTGTATAAGCAGACCCCCACATGCCATTTAAAGATTTTCCAAAAAAACAACAACCCAGCAACTCTCTCTCAAGCAATTTATACTTTGGCACACAACCTATAGAAAACAATCTAAAATGTGGGAGCCATCCCAGCCTCTGTGCTTAAATCTCATTAAAACTAGATGTAGCTTATTGGCTTTAAAAGCACCCAATAATATTACACACTACAGTTTTGTGAGACTGTTAAGCACTTAGGCAAGTAAGAGCCTTCCATTTACCTTTCCCTTTTGTTATACCTGAAATATTAATGGTGTTGGGGGGAGTAGATGTGTGTTGGGATACTCTTGCCAATCTGCTGCATATTATTAATCCATTCATTTTAGAAATTGATGCTTTAATATGTTGTTCTTGTATTTGCATGAAAACCAATTAAAAATATTTGGATTAGACATACATACATACATACATACATACCTGTAGATGCTTTAGACCAGGGCTGAGGATCCTAGAGTCCAGCTGGGCTCCAACTTTCATCAGCCACAGCCAGGGCTGGCTTGATACATGTTGGCACTTGAGGTGAACCTCAAAACCCCACCAAGGAAGAAGGGACAAGGTGGGGGAAAGAAAAGATTGATATTGAGATATGCTGCCCATGGGGATCTTGCCACCTGAGGGAGTCAAGTCACCTGGTGTCATTGGTGTGCTGTCCCTGGCCCCAACCAGCCAACCAATGGTCAGGAGTGATGGGAACTGTAGCCCAACAACATTTTAAGGGCCTTTGGTTACCCATCCCTCTTTTAGGCAATGGTGACAGAGCTTATTTTCTCTGTAACAAATGTGTACAGTTAAACAGTGGAAAAAGCTAACTGTGCCATCAGTCTCGGAATGGTACAACAAAAGATGACTACCATATAAATGATTAAAATTAATATACAGTAGTATAAAAAAGCAACCAATGACTAGAGAAGTGTGTTTTTAGAACAGAGGTTCCCAAACTCCCCCTCCCCAAAGCTAGAAAATTGTTGGTGGTTTTAGGAGGATCACTTGATTGCTTTTCTGCCTGCTGCAGCAATTGTCATGCAATATGCTAAATTATAATGCGTTGCATGATTTTTAGTTGTATTTTTCTAGACATGCCTCAGTCCACCTGAATGCAGCTCCAAAATAAAACAAAAACACTTTGTTTTATTATATGTACTTGCATATAGGAAGCTTGTTATATTCATGTGTACAGGTAAAGGGACCCATGACCATTAGGTCCAGTTGTGGATGACTCTGGGGTTGCGGCGCTCATCTCGCTTTACTGGCGAGGGAGTTGGCTTACAGCTTCTGGGTCATGTGGCCAGCATGACTAAGCCACTTCTGGTGAACCAGAGCAGCGCACGGAAACGTCGTTTACCTTTCCGCCAGAGCGGTACCTATTTATCTACTTGCACTTTGACATGCTTTTGAACTGCTAGGTTGGCAGGGACCAAGCTGGAACCAAGCAACGGGAGCACACCCCATTGTGGGGATTCGAACCACAGACCTTCTGATTGGCAAGCCCTAGGCTTAGACCACAGCACCACCCGCATCCCTACACTATATCCTTAGTAGTAGTAAAAAGAAATTCCATGGCATTGATGTCAAAAACCAAAGTACAGCAAAAGTAAAACACAAAAGGGTTGTAACCAACTAGGCTCTACTCAGAGTAGGCCCACTGAAATTAATGAACATAAGTTGGCCATGTTAATTAATTTCAGTGGGACTATCATTAGATACAACCCTGAAGGGTGTATAAATAATAAAATAATAATAATTATTATTAAATGACAAAAACCCACCCAAACATTTAATCAATAAGCATGCAAACAATTGTTGTTGTTTTTGCTTTCAGAGTTGTTATTCTGAAGGCATATTTGCATAATCTATTACTGACGTGGCAAAACTCATGGTTCCTGCCAACCTACAAGCAGAGTGCAGCCACAGATATACTAGTATCTCAGTGGAACTAAGGGAATCTGACGACCATCCATTGCCACCCTTTTTGTAATCTATCATATATTACCGTAAGTCTGAGCCCATTCCCTTGCAAAATGCTGAGATAGAGAGATTAATTCATTCTCCTCAGCTGTTTGTTGACTGCTGAGAGCACAAGTGAATTTAATTCAGTGGCAGAACACAAGCTTTGTACGTATGAAGCTCCCAGATTCAATCCTTTAGATCCAGGGCTAGGAAGAACCTGCTGGAAACTCTGGATAGCCACTACTAGGCAGTCTACTAAACAAAACTAATGGAGATGGACCGGCTGTCTGTCTTCATATAAGGGGCATTTTCCTGTCTTCCCGGTAGGAGTTATACAGCAACCACAAGATTTGCCTTATATCTGTAGCATTTGGAAGCATCACAATCTGATCTGTTTCAGATTCACTCTCGGTCATTTTATTTCAATTCATTATTCTGGTCTCAATCCAATCTGTTAAATCTGGAGCTCTGATTTGTCCCATTGGAGAATCTGAAAATGACTGCAACTTTCTTTCCCCTGGTAACATAAGTGGCTAGAATTTTCAGGCAAATGAGCTCCTCCAGAGAGAATTAAGCCTGCCAAATTTCAGGCAGATTCATTTGGGGGGGGGGGTGCAGAGAACTTTTACAGTTTGTTTTTTTCCCCTTTAAAAGAAAAATGTATCTAAACCTGTTTTTTTAATAAAGAATTGGATGCATATTGCAGGCATGGTAATCCATTCTGAGGGACTGAAGCCTGCCAAATTTAAGTAAGATGGGTGCAGAAAGTAAGTCTCTTTCACTGGGTGGGGAAATCGTAGATTACATTCCTTCTCCTATGTATTTTGGGACAGTTTAAAAACTGGGTACGTGAGGGAGGTGCCTCCTGAGTAACAAACCACCCAAAGTTCAGGGAGATAGATCCAGGGGCCACCACAAAAGTTACCATTAGGTTAGGTTACCTTTGTTGTAAAAAATGGGAAAGTTGTGGTTTTTCTTGCTGCCCCTCTAATAACCTCCATACGCGGGAAAATAGAGAGATATGGTTTTTAATTGTTTGCTAAGAAAATACAGTGGACCCTCCAGATAGGAACTTACGGTAATTCATTCCGGGGTTCTGTACGTGCCCCGAAAAGTCTAGAGGCACCGGTTCTGCGCATGCGAGCGGCGCGATAGAGCGTTTCTGCGCGCGTGGTGAAACCGAGAAGTATACACTTCCAGGTTTCCCGCATTTGCAACCTGGAAGTTACGTTACCCAAAGATAAGGTAACCCGAGGGTCCACTGATTCATCCCAATATTCTGCACTGCTTATGCCCTGCTATCACAGCCCAAACTTCTCATAGTTCTTTGCTGTGCCCCTGCAGGGGGTGGAACAGCACCATGCATAACAGCACCTGGAAGCGGAAAGACTGGGCTTCTTCTTGCCTGGACTTCACTACCTACCTACAGTTTTAGGTCCTTGCTGAGGAATCCATTGGTCGCTGGTTAACAAGGCTGGAAAGGAATTTTACTCACAACCACAATTAGACCTGCTGTGCTGGGGGTACAAAGAAAACATGTCAGGAAGGAACAGGCCTCTCAGCTACAGATGTCCTTTATTGCTATATAGCAATAATGGAAAATAAACTCACCCTGAGGCTCTGCAGCATGCAAGCTACAGGGGCTCAGGAGTTCCAGAAAGCATTAGGCTGAAATGTAATGCCCACTGGCATATGTAATGAGACCCAGGTGGTGAGGTTTTGCCTCGGTAAGAGCATTTGTCATTATTAGGCGTTGCTGTTTTGATTTTGCCACAATTGGTTTCCCTTTTGAATTTATTTCCCCCTTTATTTTGTTTAGTTGAAATATTTTCAATAAAATATAATTATAAAAATGGTGGAGATGCATTGGACCCCACCATCAACTTGAGGGAGACCCCCATAATGGGTCATGGGGGTGGCTTACTACACTACACAGGAAGTGGATACACACAAGAGACTCTGCTGAAAAGTGTTGTTAAGTGAGGGAGGGGAGAGAGGTGGCTGTGATTCCTGGCAGACACAAAGGGGCAGGAGTTCTACCAAGCAGCTGTACACAGACTAGGCAAAGGTGGAGCCATTCCATCCTACATTAGCTGCATTCATGTCATGAT